CGAGGCTGCATCAGGATCTTGGCGATACCGGAAGGATTATGACATTGTGGCCAAGAAGAAGGAGCATGCCGAGGATGCGGTTGCAAGGCTAATTGCTAAGAGAAGACAAAGTAGATGCTGCCCGTCTACGTCTCTCGTAGTCAGGACTTACCTCAGTTAATCAAGAGCTCAATGCCCTGGCAGCTCAAGTACAGGAGGCCGATCGATACAAGGATAGGAAGGCCGAGCTGGAAAAGAAGCAACGTGATAAGCTCACATACAGCTTGTATGAGATAGAGAAGGTAGGGGGGCAATGCTCGATGGGCATGCGCTGTTAGTCTCTCTGTAGGAGGCGGATGCCTTATTGGAATCCAGTGAAGGGTTGCTGGAGAGCTACGAAGAAGCCAAGGCAGCAGTACAAGAAGCACAGCGGCAACAGAGTGCTGCAGGGGAGGAGAGGAAGGCGATTGCTGAGGAACATGACCGTCTGCAGATGAGGTGACGGGCGAATACCTGCGGCACATAAATCACATCTATTGATCTCTCAATGATTGTAGTTTGGAGAGGGAACGCAGAAAAAGAGAAGAGACAGAGGTAACAATGGCAGAGCTGCGAGGCAAGAAGAAGCAACTGGTAAGCATGATGTCGCAATGGGCCCTCTCACTCCTCTATAGAGACAGTGGTGAGTGGATGGTCTAAGGAGTGTTCACATCGTTCAGACAGCTAGTGAGGTGGAGGTGGCTGGGCGGATCGATACCACGAGGAAGAGCTTACGAGATCAGGAGGACAGGCTTGGAGATGTTGACGACAGGATCGTGGAAGTAGGGCATGCCGTAGTCCACGTGTTGTGCATCGGGGTATCTCAGGTCAAAGCTGCTCTAGAGGCTCTGACCATCCGTCGTGGTAAGGTAGATGATGAGATTGGAGGAGGAGTCTTAACAGAAGAGATAGTCGAGGAGTGCGGACAAATCGAGGAGAGGGCGCAGGGAGTTGCTGGTGAGAACTTCCGTACACCTAGGGTGGCTTCGTTACTGCTCCATCAGCCTCCATCGAGAATTCTATCGACGCATGCAAGGAGCAGCAAGTGTTGTTGAGCCAATGTATCGACGAGGCTAAGGCTACCATCACTCGCCTGGAGGAGACCAAGGCTTTGAGGCAGCGCGAGGTTGATGATGCGGGAACTGGCATGGATGCCTTACGGGAACGGCTGCATGCTCGAGAGCTTGCTGTAGCAGAGGAGAGGAGGGAACGGGTGGAAAGGAGAGAGGCTAGGAGGGTGGTCGAGGAGAGATTAGAGAAGACTAGAAGGGAACGGCAGGCCGTAGCTGATGAGCTCTCATTGATGAGGGCTGGTCATCGTGAGAGTGAGAGGGCAGCTACGCTCAGAGCTAATGTGAGTCAGACGTGGCATGTGCAGTATGGATCGCTCTAGTCCTTGTCTAATATGCCTTATGGTACAAATCTTACTGTAGGTTGATCGACTTATCAAAGAAAGACCACTTGAGGGGGCTCGTGATGGAACTTCTCTCGATGGTCGGGGTAAGGTTACCTGATCCTTGGGCTGGTATCCGACTTGGTACGCC